GATAATAGTTTTGATATGATGATGACGATTTTGATGATGATGATGACGATTTTGATGATGATGATGATGATGATGACGATGGGGGGATGATGATGATGAAAGATAGAGATAATCTCGTGACTGGGCTAAATAATTCACACTAGCTATTACTACTTTTAATATTGGTGTTATTATTTTTACATGTAACTAGTAACAACACTTTAATACCACTATTACTACTACTACTATTAAGTTGTTGTTGCTGCTACAGTTACCACCACTACTACTACCACTACCACCACCACTACTACTACTACTACTACCACCACCACTACTACTACTACTACTACTACTACTACTACTACTACTACTACTACTACTACTACTATTACTACCACTACTACTACTACTGCTGATGCTGCTGCTGCTGCTAAATTTGACGACGTGTCATAAATAATTCAGAAAAAAATTTATTTTATATTCTGCGTTTGCTATCTATCAATCACGGTTTTGCTCTTTCTCTCTCTCTCTTTCTCTCTCTCTCTCTCTCTCTCTCTTTCTCTCTCTTTTTTTTTCTCTTTCTCTTTCCAATCATTTTCTGTTTCTTTCTCTTTCATTTACTCCTATTTGTTACCATCCATCTTTCCCCCTATTAGTTTCCGTTAATGTTTTTCTCATTTTATGAATTAATTTAAAAAAAAAATTCGAACTTTTGCTCTCAAAAGGGTGCCTAATTTGAATTAATTGCTTGCTCCTTTGAAATTTAATAAAAATTCTATTTTTTGTTGTTGTTTTTAGTAATACGTAGTTGCTGCCATAACTACTACTGCTACTGCTACTGCTACTGCTGCTACACACACACCACACACACACCACACATACACCACACACACAAACACACACAAACACACACACAAACACACACACAAATCTACATATATATATATATATATATATATATATATATATATATATATATATTTATTTATATATATATATAAGAGAACACATACACACAAACACAATCACACATAAACACACATAATCACACATAAACACACAAAACATATAAGAGAAATGTGGAACACATGTTTTTTTCAATTTTTCATTTATTCATTGATCTCCTTCTTCCAATCACTCAATTAAGTTACAAGCTTCATCATTCAACTGAAAGGTGATTTATTGTTATTGAGACTGTCAGACAGACATAAAGACAGACAAACCAATACGCAAACATACACGCAAATACACACACACACCCAGACAGACAGACAGACACAAACATTCAAACGCATGGACAAATCGCCCATTGAAGCGGCATAATGCAAAATGTTGAGGCGCATAAAACGCGCTGAAAATTTCTCAGCCTGCTCCCGTCATTTTTAATCTTATTAGTTACCGGCTAATTGGCTTACAAATTTCAAACTGTTCTTAGGAAAATCAGCCTGTCTGTCTGTCTGTATGTTTTTATGTGTGTGTGTATGTGTGTTGTGTATGTATGTGTGTTGTGTATGTATGTGTGTTGTATATGTATGTGGGTTGTGTATGTGTGTGTATCTGTGGGCGTATGAATTGTTCAGTTAATGCGTGTGTTTGTTTGTATGTACATATATGTACGTGTGTACCTATGTGTGTCGTATGCGTGAATGTATGTGTGTGTGTGTGCTTATGTGTAAGTGTGCGTGTATGTATGTATGATTTTTGTGTGTGTGCGTGCGCGTGTGTGTTTGTGTGTGTGTTTGATTTTGGAATGTGCGATCGTGCGGTCAAGCATAATGAGATTAAGAGTGAATTACTTTTTGCTGTGCATTTAATGCATTCTTCCGTGCTAGAATTGATGAGGACGACGACGACGACGATGAAGATGGGGAGGAGAAGGAAGAGGAAGAAGATCATGAGGATGAAGAAAAAGATGCTGATGTTATGTTGACGATGATGGTGATAGTGATTCTGATAAGATTGATACTTAACTATGATGATTGTAATGATGATGATGATGCTGATGATGTTGACGATGATGATGATGATGGCGATGATGAAGAAGATGATGATGATGATGATGAATACAATGACGATGGTGATCATAGAATATAGATGACGTCACAGAATATAGGTGATGTTATAGATGACGATTACATATGAAAAATAACATACCGAAACGTGATAAAACCGATGAACAAAGGATGAAATAACTCTCAAAAATAAGATATTGTTTTTGTAAACTTGAAAAACTTTGCGTCACATGACGACTTACTCAGAAAATTTAAAGAAATGAACTTTTCCATTTGGAATTAATTTGGTTTCATTCTATTCGCTAGCGTCACTTAATTCCTTGATTGTTTTTTTTCTAATTTTCAACAAAATAATATATTATATAATATTCAAATATTTCTATATTATGAAGTATTGAAGAACAATTTTTTTTTGGGATTTTGTTTTACTCTCGTTCTGATGATCCATTTATGTACGACTATCGTTATTACTAATTATTTTAGTAATATAATTATTAATACAATAATAATTATTATTATTATTTCTTTTTTAATTATATTTCTGAAAAATCAGCAGTACCTTTTAATCAGTTCACAACCAGCATTTCACTTGAAATACTTTTCCATAACTCTAACTCAAACATAGATCCTAAAAAACTTAATTTCAAAATATGCATTCGAAAATTGGAAAACTCAAAAAAATGTTTAAACACTAATGGTAAACATATATTTATTAACTGTTCTAAAAAAAATGATAATATTCATCATTGAGCTGGTATTTCATTATATGTGTGTGTTTGTTTGTGTGTGCGTGTGTGTGTGTTTGTTTGTGTGTGCATGTGTGTGTGTTTATTTGTGTGTGCATGTGTGTGTGTGTTTGTTTGTGTGTGCATGTGTGTGTGTGTGTTTGTTTGTGTGTGCATGTGTGTGTGTGTTTGTTTGTGTGTGCATGTGTGTGTGTGTTTGTTTGTGTGTGCATGTGTGTGTGTTTGTTTGTGTGTGTATTTGTATGTTTGTTTCTGTGCGTCTGTGAAAGTTTGAATAAGGAATAACATACAACATGCTATCTAACTACTTAATTTTTGTTTAAAAATTATTAATAGATAATTTTAAATAAATCGGATTTTAAATAACTTGAATTAATGGTTAAACAAGTTAAAAACTCAATTGATTAATTAAATGGTTAACAAATAACCAAATGGTTAAAATCGCAAAGTTAAAAATCTCAATGGTGTAACATCTAAAAATAGATACATATCATAAATTCTACAAAGATGGAAAATTCTCCGTATCAAAAAAAAAATATTTGCAGTTAACTTAAGAATACTTTTCAGAAATAAAGATAAAAAATTTTTCAAAAAAAAAAAATTATTTGTTTAAATCTGAAAGACGTTGAAATGTGAAAGACATATCAATGAACTAGATCGTTGGTTTATGTGCGGTTATGATTACTAAAATTTACCTAAAAAATTATCTCACCTAATTAACAACTCAATTTATTGTCTTGATCATTAACCTATGTAATTAATAATTAACTTAATCATACAATTAAAGCCTAATCAGTTAGACACTAATTAAGTTTCAATTAAGCCATTTAATAAATAGTTTTAAGGCGTTTGAGACCTTGTATGAATGTGCGTTACGATTTATCGTTAAATATTTAATTCATCAATAATAATAATATTCTTCTTCTAAAATACAGTAAATACATGTCTATATATTAACATATACAAATACATATATAACAGGCAATTGTAATCCAGAGATCAGTTGGATGTCTCTTGCTGAGCCAACAATTTGCCTCGCTTTGAAATCACCACCTTTGATACTGAAAAGTTGACAGTTCACATATAACCGTATCACGATGTGAGTTATATCGACGAGCCAAGTAACACGCTAAGCCGAATCTGGGAGTGTCGAGTAATCTGAAGCCTTACGTGCAAACAAGCTCGTCTGTTAACTATTTAAACTCGCATTCCTTTTTCTTCCTACATAACAATATCCAGTAAGATGCTTGCTCGGCTGTATGTCCTATGTTCTTCATACAACTCGATCGTTTTTTACCTGCCAAACCCAAATCCTTCAAAAAGCTGCACACTAAAGAACAACAACACCTCTTGCACCGACCTCAACTGCGTACAACAAACACCTTAACCCACGTTGTACACGTTGTACCAACTGACGCTTTCTCAAGGCTTTCTACTGTGGGTGAGTTAATTTCATAAACTGCTAGAGGTCATGGAAGCCTTGGTACAACAACAAACTGAATCAACTATACTTTGAATTTGCCTGACCTTCAATATATATACTAGTGCTTGCTTGTATGTCACACATATTATGAATTATTTATTAGTATAATATATAATAATTCTATAGTACTAAACTCAAAAGCAAACACTAAATTTCGCTCTCTCTCTCTCTCTCTTTCTCTTTCTCTCTTTATATATATATATATATATATATATATATATATATATATATATATATATAGATTGTAATAATATCAATAATAATGACAATAATATTAAAAATAATACTAGTAATAATAACAACAATGATGATGATGATAATAGAAGAGGAAGAGGTATTGATGACGATGACGACATTAATAACAACAACAACAAAAAATACATCACTAATGGGCGCTACCAATATAAACTAATAAAAATATAAATGCAGTATAAATATAAAAGTTAAGTACATGCAGTTGATTCACGGGTATCTTTAATAAATACGCTCTTCTACATTGTATCATTGATACATATCTAACAAATGATAAATATATATTATATTAATAATATAATAGATATATTAACTTGTAGTAATCAGATAAACGTTTACGTTTATGTTTATGTTGGTAATAGACCATAATTTTTACAATATTCTATAAATTCTACCGAATGTTTGGCGTTAATATGTTTGTAGTTCGTAAACGAACGTAAACGGGATTTTAATGGGACTATTACCTACCTATTCCTTATGATAAGTTACGACTGAATATAACATTAATTAAATATGTAATTAATTAAACTAATAAATCTTTCATTTAATTAATATGTAACAATGATTAATGAAAACCATGAGTTTGTCGATGGTGGTGGATGGATAAACATGTTGAGTGTAGAAATTTTATGTTTGGTCGAAAAATTTTTTTAAAAAGTGAAACAGACTTCGGAAATGAAACTTAAACGATAGGTTTCTATGCGTTATTGAGTTATTTATTTCTAAATGAATGCAAATATGTCTAATTGATGAATTAATTTCTCCTAATTAAGACCAAAAAATTTATCTGGTCTAGATCTAACCTAGACAAAATGACAAATAAACTAACGATGACACTGCAATTAGAATTACCACGGGTACACATCTATCAATTAACAACTGTCTTTACAACTAGGTAGAAACAAAAATTCAAAACATCATGTCTTTGATATTGGTACTCTCTTTATAGTCAGTCTCCAACCTCAAACTTTCCACCTCTCACTTTCAGTTTCACTTCCCATTTCACTTTCAGTTTCACTTTCTATTTTTAACTTTACGAAACCTGGAGAAGGTTGGGTTTGAGACGCAGGGCGTAGAGCTTATTGTAATAGACCATGTTATCGTCGATAGCTTTCTGAACGTGCCTTGGGAGATCAGGCATGATCATGGGAGACTTCGGCTTGGTGGCCGACGGTTGAAACGTGTTTGAAGTTAGCACCCCCTCAAACCAGGGCATCCACTCCTGAAAGACGGAGAGGTCTTGGGGTGTTTCCTCCCAGTTCAACATGCGCTCTTCAAACTTCATTCCCACCTTGTTGCAGTACAGACGGAATATCACCTCTGATGATTTGTAGGTCGTTTTTATTGCTAGTTGTAATTTGCTAATTTTAAGTTTAACTTATTCGAGTATAATTTTAGTTTTTTTAGATAAATGCATAAAAGTAAATCATCTTAAAGGAAAAATATTATTCGGAAATAAAATTTTTAAAAATTCCTGGAACCCACCCGGATGTTTCAGGAGGTCATCGGCGTCGACGATGATGGCCTCCTGACCCAGCTGCTCCGTCACCAACTTAAACATCTGATACAACTCCTTGAAACCCACCTCTTCGGCGTTGAAGTGGTCCCAGCCTGACAAAAATATAGGTCAAGTAAGTAGGTCAAGAATGCAGGTCACTCAAGAAGGTCAGGTAAATAAGTAGGTCAGGTGAGTACGTCGTGTATTAGTAATGAAGTGACAGAATGTAACGGAATGTCATCATCGTCATCATCAACGTCATCAACAACAACATAAACATCGTCCTCATCAACCTCTTCTTCATTATTGTCATCATCATCAACATCAGCAGCAGCATCGTCGTCGTCATAGTCAGCTGCAGCACGGCACAACACGCAACAAGGGACATTTCATCCATCATTAAGGAGGGGATGTTTGCGCTGGTTTACAAGATTAACGAAGAATAATGGTGAGGACGAAGATGAAGATGACGATGATGATGACGATAATGATGACGATGATAATGACGATGATGATGAGAAGGAGGAAAAGGAGGAGGAAGAAGAAGAAGAAGATGATGATGATGATAATGATGATGACAAGTTGCAGTTTCTTCCAATTACAAAAATATTTCATTTCAATAAAAGCCAAAACGAAAATAAGCAAAACAAATAAATTTTGTGTACAGACAAAGATTTAAACAGAAGTACAAACAAACAAACATACTAAAAATCATACACACAAACTAACAACCAAACATACGCAAACACACATACAATATCTCTCACATACATACATACAAACAAACAAACATGCATACAAACGATGCTCTTAATTCCTCTTGATAACTGCAGGCAGAAATATAATTAGATATTTGAGCGTGTCCTTGTCTTCATACATACACACACACACAAAAACAACACACAAACCACACACACACACACACATACATACGTAAGCATACAACATATACAACTCACTTACACGTACACAAATTTATAAACTTACGTGTAGTTACAATTATTATTATTACAACATTTTAACGGTCTTGTTAATAACTTTCGTCTCTTGCGATGTGAAAGTATTTTTTTATAAAACGAAAAAAATGCACGTGTCACGTGATACAGCGCTTTTTCAGGTCACGTGATACGTCCACAACTTCCGGTACAACTTAATTACAGGAGTTCGTGTCAGCGTGCCGCTCTGCGCTATTTTTATTTTAAAGGGCATCTTCGTCAATGTCGCCACCATCATCATCATCGTTGTTATCATCATCATCATCATCATCATCATTGAGATGGCTCAGTTTTTTCAGTCTCTTTCTGCGCAAACGTCATGTTACGTCACCCTCCTTTTCTTCTTCCTCTCTCTCTCTCTCTCCCTCCCTTTTTTGGTCATGTCAAAATTGTCAACAAGTTTTTTAATAATAAAAACATCCACATAAACATCAAAAATAACAACAACCACTACTGCAACAACAACAACCACATTAACAACAACAACGACAACAACGTCAACAACAACAACGACAACAGCAACAAAACTTTACCA